AAAACATCAGTGTTTGTAGAATAATGGCTTCTTCAGATAGTTATGCCAAGACATCATCATTACGCAGAGCTTGCCAGTTCCTAAAACCTCAAAAAGCATTTGTAGAGTGCTGAATAGAGCTTTGAAATCCATCTCACATTTTTCTTTGTTATGCCAACTTGCCCTTAAACCTTAAACTATTAAACCTGAGAGCGACAGGAGAATTTACAAAATCAGCCATGTCAGGGATTAGTATTCCTTTACTGCTCTTGGTATGTGTTTAACCACCAGGTTATTACACTACAGTGACCACTTGTTTGAGGAGAATTCACAGTGGAGAGAAGGGAGATAGTGCACCAAACCTCCTGTTCATAATTTTGGTAAGGTCTTCTGGAGCGTTAAATGTATATGTATATATATACACACACATATATTCCATAGCACAATGACAATAAAAAATACAAGCACTAAACAAGAAAGCCTCAAAGCAACCTAGAGGCAAAAGCAGGAATTTTTATTCCTTTTCACACGTGCAGAAACTAGGAGTTTGTCACTCTGTCTAGTCTTATGCAGGGCTGCTAATTCCAACAGGCAGTCTAGGTTATTTGTGTAGCTGCACTCCAGCAATGAGGCATCTATGCTACATGTTATTGCCTGGGAATTCAAAATTATATCCATATTTATTGCTCACTGTGGAATAAAAAATAGGATGCCACTGATTAAAAAAAAAAAATCAGTATCCAAATGACATAGCCACATCATGCAGCAATTCCATGGCAAAGGCACCAAATGCAGCGTTTACCAGCTGATGGTTCTCTGCTCTATCCATTACACCACACAGCTTTTTTACTTCCAAACTCAAGTCAATCTGACTTTTTTCACAGGCTAAAGCCTTCACTCTACCTTAAGAGGCTACTCCACCACTTCTGAAGTACAACTTCTGTCACTGTAGTTGCTAATACAGCAGAATATACACAGATGATATAGACAATTGTTCCCAGCAGCATCCTCATTAAAGCACCTTCAAGAACTTGAGGAAATTGGAAAAATCACAGTAAAGAAAGTACAAGAAATCCAGTGACATTCTTTGCCTTTCATCAGTTATTTTTTCATAATTTATTTGTCTGGCAATGCATTAAGACTAGAGCTGTAAGAATAACACTTGTTGGATGCTGTTAAATCTTCTGTACTTGCCAGAACTACTTTTGGCAAGTAGAATTTTTGTAAAGTTGTTTCCAATTAGTGTATACAACAAATATTGATTATGATCAGCTCAACTCAACTTCCTGGAAAATGTCCCTAACAAATGGTCATCTAATTAGTCCCCATCAGGAGGAACATACTGTATCTGAATAAGGAGATTGGAAGAAAAACAAATGGCAACAAAGAGCACTGTGGACTCTGCTACAATGTGGAGAGAGAAAAGTAGTGCACTTTTGCTCATCTGAGGCACAAATTCAAAAGGTAGGAAAAAAAATCCAGCTTATCTTCCAAACTCCTTTTTGCCTCTTCTCAGGTCAATGACTTATATCACACATCATCCTTCTGGAACCTAAGTGAAGTTTTCTGGTGCTCTGAAAAAGTGATTTCAAACACAGAAAATACCTGGATTCTAGCCCTATTTCATGCTCTCTTTCTGAATCCTGTCACAAAGTAACTGATTACTTCAATCACACTACAGAACTGAGTGCCTCTGCTGGATCAATACAAAACATTTCTTGATTAGGTTTCTGGTGCTAGGAAGAATCTTGTCGCTACCAATCTTACTGATTGGCACCTTAAAGTGTATGAAGATCCCTACATTTGTTTTTAAACAAAAGTTTCCATGCATACATATAGACTGAACTCCAAACAATCCATATTGCCAGATAGCTCACAAAAAACAAGGGAAAGAAAGGAGACAGAAGAGCTATGAAGAGAGAGGGAGTAAGAACCCAAGGTGGGTACCAAAGACAAAGAGGACATTGGGTAGACTTCAGAAGCAGTGAGAACACAACTGCAAGAATATTTTGCTTAAATGGCCTATAGTCATGAAAATACAATTAAAGACTCAGTAGACATACACTCTTCCCTATTTCAGCAATAAGACTTTACCTCAAAGTGTATACTGAAATCTAACCCGTAAGACTATTTTAAAAAGTAATTTGAATGTTGCAAGTCCTACCTCCGGACACAGGTATTCATTTGTCATATTTATATAGCAACTTCATCCTCAAGCTTCCTAAAGCATTTCACAATCCTGGATTTGCAGTACTGTGCAAATACAACCACTGCTAGGGTGGCTTCCATAATAACAAGAGTACAGGATATCGCTCAGTGATTAAAAAAAGGAGCCTGTGGTCAAGTCAAGACAACAACCAGTCAGGTAGCCTTCAGTCTTTAAAAAGAGAAGCCAAGCACCACTGTAAAATGGCTAATAAATCATATCCTTGCTCCTGCAGTTGCACTGCTTAAGAGGATAAAATTAAATGAATGAATAATATGAATTCCCCAAATCACACATTTCTGGTTGAATTCAAACAGCAATAACAACCTAATACTGTCTCATTCACCTCAGCAGCACGTATCCGTGTGTTGAATTCAAGCGTCCCAAATCTGCTAATGATCACAGTGTCTATCAATCCAGTGCTTTGGGCTGAAATCTATTTCTCCACTTTCTGAAAAGCCAAAGTACTCTCCATGCCAATTACACCCAAAAACAAACAAACAAACAAATAAACAAATAAAAATCACAAAGGCTGAAAAGTCAGGCATCAAAACACCCAGGCAGTGTGGCTGGGATTATGATACAGTCCAGTTCCCCCTGACCACACTGAAGGACCTTACCCACATTCTATACTTCTGCAGGAAAATCAAATCCTGCATATAAACCGTTTCACTACATGGTTGTAAACAGCTCCCAGAACTGGTTGAGCTTGTGTACTGAATAGGAGAGTAGCGCTGATGAAAAACTCAGAATATGATTAATTAAAACTATTACCATGCATATTCACAAGAAGAGCAAACTGGATGTGTTCAGTAAGGCTTGATTTCGGCATTTTCCATTTTCTGTGTTTCTCTGCAATCTCAATAGATCAATTGTAGCTGATCCGTGTATGTGTTTGCAACCTATATATGTACTGTATGTTTGTAAGATGTTTGCTCTTTCTACACTGAGCTACCTTATGTGCCTAACTTCACTGTGATTCAGGAAAACCAAAGTTAGAAGCACAAACTCCTTATATAGTAAAGGGAGAAAAACAAACACCTCCCGGAAGAACTGATTTAATAGACCTAGGATTACAGCCTAAAGTGGATATTGTGAAAACCTCCTTAAATCAGCAACTTTTTCCTACTTATTCTAAATATATATCTTTTTCCCCTCTGCAGTGCCAAAGGTCTGCTTAAATCACAGATTCAATTGACACAAAAACCCCAAAAGTAACAGATGGCTGGAGGACAGTGTTCAAACAGGTCTGGTCGTGTAGAACAGTGCACACTTTCAACGTGTACGTGAGGAAGCAGAGTGTGAGAAAGAGAGATGAATAGGAATTCATCTGGAAGAAAGGAAATGCAATGGCTATCATACAGGAAGTCTATAATGGGCAATTGAGCCTGGGTCCTCAGCACTGAGTGACACTGGTCACACATGTGGCCAAAAACCCCACACTGATAAGAATAGCTGCAGTCAGCCTGTAATAGCCAGGAGCCAGTTTGAGAACATATGGCAAAACAAATGAATCAATGCAATCTGCTCATTCTGCTGCTTCCCCCAAATATTGCTGTACTAACATCCTTTGCTTTTTGCCTTATTACACACTGTTACCATTTAAGAGCATGGAAAACACCTGTAGGGATGACAGAGACCTACATAATTACTACCACGCTATGCTGCTGTGAAGATTCTCATACTGCTTTCACAGCTTAAGACAGTTACACGTGTCATGCTCCTTACTTGTAGGAAACAAAGAAAGAAAAGGGAAAGCTAGTAAGCTTGTTCTGTTTGCTTACAGGCAAAAAAGGATACATTCTCCCAGTTCATCTCAGTTAGACACAGGGCACTCCAGCTCCTAGACAGCACCACTGCCTATAAATTCTGTGAGGGTCATAACAAGCAGAAGTTCTGCCATCCAAACCCCTGTTCACATCCTTCAACTTCTTAAAACATTTACCTTCAGGCCTATTATCTCTTGAGCTCAAAGTCTCAGTAAACAATGGAAGGTTTGGGCTTCTTACATGGAAAACTTTCTTTCCTTTTATAGATGTAGTTGAACACATAAATAAGGCAGCACACTAGCAAGCTGTGACGTCTGAGACATCAGTGTTGCCATAATTCATCCATCTATCCCAAGTCTTGCCATGTTTATTATTTTAAGATTTCCCCCCGAATCAGACTGTATTGACAACAAAAAACTCTAGTCTCTTGTTTTTTAAAATGAATGTCTACCTTTTAATGGCAAATGGAAGATGTTTGTAAACTTGAACCTTAAAAACTGAGACAGCAGGAAGTAAAAAACATATTCTAAGGCTTTCATTTATGTTTGTTCAGCAAAGCTCAGGATTTAGAAGCAAATCCAACAGTTTCTTGGGATCTAAGCTACATGTACTCAGGCTGACAAGCTTGTGCCCAGATTCACTGAGGTTCTTTTCCTGGTTCTGCCAGTAATATGCTGTGTAACCCTGGGTTACTATCTCTTCTCTGTGCTCTTCCTTCTTTTTTCTTTCTACCTTCCATGTCATTATTTGGGTCACTATAATCCTGACCCTTTGAAGGTCTAAACATGTATCTTGACATGTAGTAAGTAGTTCACTAAAATGTATGGGATTACTCACAGAGAACATTCATACAACTATTAGTATAATATGCAAAGTAAAATACATACATTTTACAATGGAGTTTTGTGTATGTATGAAAACACACCAGAAAGGTATTTATCTGTATCTCTCATAGCTACATGCTATTTCTTTCTTCGGATGTTTCCACTGCTGTTTCCTATTCTGCTTCTTATCTAGAGAGATCCATGTTATGGGGCACACAGTACCATATCACAGTGCAGCTCCAAGTTTAGGTCTCCTTTATTAGTGTGAAGTCGCACGTAGCCCTTCTTCTTCACGTATTTGTATCTCACAACATCTTCCTCAATTGCAGCTGTATCAAAGCAAAAGACAATAATTAGCTCTCTGGAAGCTCATTGATCTTTAGAAATCATCAGTAAACAAAAAGGCCAGATCCTGCTCTCTGACCTCTTCCCCTGGCGTACTGGGTCTTCAGGGATTGTAGTCTGCAATTCATCTATGCTAACCCCACATTAATCTCTGTGCAAAACACTTTCCATTATAGGAAACCACCAACTCCTCAAGAGCCAACAATATCATCTGTATTTTTAAGTCAAAGAAGCATTCAATATTACAAACTATAATCTTCAAGTAATGTCTACCAATCACAAACATTACTTTGAAACCAAATTGTTTCTTGTCAAACTTGGAAGCCAAGCAGGTAGTCATCAGTCAGCCACAAATTGCTGACATATGAGGACCTACCCAGTTGAAAACAAATGAAGCTGTTACTGGAGACATTACTGGAAAGTCAAACCAAAGGATGAATCCTGGATGTTTCCCCTTCCATTTTGTCAAAATGTACAGCTAGAGAGATATTTTCAATGCTCAGAGATTCAGCTGCACATCACTGTAATCCACCAAGTAAATGAATTGAACTTGGTAAAAACAACTTTAGCAATGTATTCAATCTCAGCCTAAGTGTGTGACACACTTCTAAATTTTAGTGCCAAAAGCCAGACCTTTGTCTTCTACTGGGAATGCTAATCACTCTGCTATTAAATCAATATTCAAATTAAATAAATTCTGTACCTTTCTGTTTAGGTTGGAGAATGAAAGAAAAAATTTATGGTACTAAAATGCATTTTTGTGTAGCCTTGAAAAGCAGTAAATAAAAATTTGCCTTCCCAAAATTTGCTGTCATTCCAGCCAATACCAGGCATGGCCAAAAAAGTGCTACAGATTTTGCATGCTGCTTGAGGAGAGATTATACTTCATTCCTAACTTACATAACTAGATACTCCATTTTGTGGTCCCTGAGCATAGAAAATACCTCATTTATTTCAGTTCAACCTAAGAACTGCCATTCAAAGCTGGAGCGAATTCATAACTGTTCCTGCATTTTCAGAATGAGCTCACTGGAAAGTAAGAATATTTCTGCTCAGGGAATACATTTCCATTGCATCAGTACTGAACAATTATCTGTGCATTCCTTTGGTCCTCATAAATGCATAGGGAGCACACTTCAAAACAGGAAAGTAAATAAACAGCTTGTAGCTGGGTACTTCTGGTACCTGCTTCGTGGACGGTTTCAGGCACCATTGCAGTGGAGGTAAAGGAAGCACTTACTGCTCCAGTGGAATAGTGAGCCTGTTTGCAGAGAAAAAAAAGAGAAAAAGACATTAGATCTCAGAATTTATCTACAAAAGATCCTATATAAACCCTAGAAACATGCAAGTGCCATTCTTCTGAAGGCAGACTTCCTGTTTTGGCTCCTATAGAAAAAACAAATACACAATGCAGTGATAATTCTCTGTTACCCATAACATTTGCTCTGAAACTCCAGTTGAGGCTGCCTATACACTGTGCTGAAGGGGCTTACTGCTTCCACTACACAGTTTAAAACATCATTATGCAAATGTTTATTATCAGGATTTATCTGTATGTCCACAGGTGCAGATATGAAAGGAGTACTGCTGGCAAGACATCTGTAAAATTCCCCAATGTTGCTGAGTAAGCAGAAGAAAAATCCAGTGAACCACAAAGATACTGAGGAGGAAAGCAAACCACCCCCTGCCCACACACGGCGCCCTTCTGCGTGCAGAGACTCTGTCCCATGGTTCCTAGTGTCTATTTTGGGCTTTGCAATTCTCCTGCAGATAGGAAATGTCAACGTCATACATGGATTTTGTAGTAAATTACAAAGATCTGATAAACCCCAAGGCACATTTAGCAGCTCTGAGGCAATCCCTGTAAAGAATACAAGTCAGGTCAATGCTCTGTCCGCAAGGTTACACTGCATCCTGTGCAAGTTTAGAGTTACGCACACCCATCCACATTAGCTCATAATCTGACCCTCCAACATGTGTAGAGCTCATTGTTGTCTCTCACCTCTTTCTTTTTTTCTCCCTCCATCTTTTGTTTTCTTAGAACACTATGATGCCCTAAAAAAAGGAGCAAACATGATCCTACTCCTTGGTCACATACCCTCCCTAATCTGTCACTAAGCCTCCTCATTAAAAGCCATATGCTGTTTGGTTATTCATTTTTATGTAAGTGCAATCAAAGCACAAAGAGATAGATCCCAGAATCACAAAAGGAAAGAATACTTTGTCTTGACCATTTCAAACAATCTTTGAGGGGGAAATCGAGATGCAGATTGCTTCTCTTGACAGGCATGAACACACAGTAATGTGCACCTGGAAGAACATCCTCTAAAATACTTCACTAAAAATCCTGCATTCCAGTGGAAAAAAAATAAAATGAAGAAGCAGCTGCAGATGATTAATATATTTGCCCACACCAAGAGTGATTCACTTGCACTGCCCAGAAGGTGTGTTCTCTCTGCCAATAACTGCAGGAAGCAATGATAAACAAATTCAAAGTGAGAGAATACAACCTGGGAAAAAAGTTTCTGCCAACATATACATCATAACCACATCATAAAGATTCCTCCTTCTTACTGTGCTCCATTTCTAAAATGTTTAGGTTAATTTACAATGATGTAACAAAAAGAAACTCACTGACACATACAATGTTTTTCTAAGGCATCCCAATATGATTCTCATATTTGCATTTGTGACAAATTCCCATGTAATAGAAAATATAAGGAGGGGTGTTTGTTCATACTGCAATATGGCCTCTAAACTGAAAAACATCTATTACCATTCGCAAAGAAGTCAATCAGTGCCAAACTACAAATTAAGCCAACTTACTGCATTCAGCTTATCCACTTTCTTCTTTTCAGGAGCCTTCATAGTAGCTGCTAGAATATCATCACCTTTGAATTCCTTATAAAGCTCCAGTAAAGTCTCTCGTGTCTCTGTATTTGTATTTTTCAAGTAGTAAGATGGATCTAATTTTGCTTTTTCTTCATCTAGATAAGACAAAGTGAGATCATTCACAGTTAAAAGAAAAACTTTTATTTTTGTTCTCCTTCATTTTATTACATATCTAGTCACACAAAAATCTTCCAGATATTATTTCTACTTTTTTTTTAATAAGGCCTAATAACTGTTTTTATTCCTGCAAAAACATTAAAAAAATATAAATGCGTAACACTAACAACAGTATAACTTGAAATGTAGCACAATAAATCACAATTTGATGAAGTGTAACAAAAGTAAAAAACAACTTCAAACCAACTGCCGCAAAAATTCACTTGAAACCTCTAGAAATTATCTAAGCTCACGGAAGTCCTGTAGAATTTTCATAGAAGTATAAAGACGAGATAGAGTTGGGTAGAATACAGACTTCTGTCCTTTGTCTCCTCATTGAACAGCCAGGCCTGAGATGCAGAAATCCCAAGATCAGCTCTTTAATGTGATACTAGGGGCAGGAGACTCCAGACTGTATAATTTGATTTTTATTTAATTTAAGTTTTTTATTTTTACAGATGTCACTTGTTCTCTGTCTTGGTATACCTACTATTTGCTGGATATTACATGTTCTGTCTCTGAGATAATACCGACTGGTTTTCAGCAGGTAAATAGAGAGATGTTCACTTGCAGAACTACTACTTAAAGAAAAAAATTAAAAGGCAAGCATAAGACAACCCAGGTATGAGAAGATAAAAGTTTCCTTGTCTTGGTTCTCGTACATGGCCAATGGACCTTCTGACAAATCACTCCTCTCTCATCTACCTGCTCTTAGAGGACACAGAAAGCTTTCCAAGTTTGCAGAGCACTCAACAGAGACAGTTAATGACTTCTCAAAGAATCATGTCTTTGTTTCCAAGTTTATTAACACCTTTTGATGTGAAAGGGCAGTTTCAACAAGTTATTCACATTTCCAGGAAGCTTTAAGATTTGCCACCAGCTACTAAGGGCTGTCCAGCCAGAAAACAATGTCAGTTCATTAAGTCAATGTTAGAATTTGCATATTTGGGTTTGTGTTCTCTCAGCCTACCCACAATTCATACTTACCTGGATCAATTACTTTTATGTTGTTCTTAACATGAAAGAAGTTTGAGACATTGAACTTATCCAGGTTTGTTGGATCCTGAAAGTAACAAATAAAAAATCAACTATCAGAGAGTTTGGCAGACACCCACTCCAGGCACCAGGTTAATCTGAAGGCCAGACATGACTATAATAAATGAATCAGGGGAGACAGAATAACTTCCATACACCCCAAACCACAGAAACTAAAAAAAAGGCTACTATAAAGCAACCAACTGCAACCAGCATCAGTTCACAGTAGGCTCTTTAGGGATCTGGAATTTGGTCCCAAACATACTATTACACATACTTTGCCTACAGAAGTTACTAACAGAATTAAGCTCAGTCCACCCTCCCCTAGAATAGAATGAAGAGCTGCAATCCCCTGATTCTTTCGACAGTTCTGTGGTTTGGTTTAAGATCTACACAAATCTACATCAGCTACCTCCTTCTATTTATAACAGAGTGCATGATTTGGACATGCTCTGTTAACTTTGTAATGCATTTCAAAATACAAATAAACATCAGAGCAAGTCTGTGCAGTCAGAACTGGTTTTATTGTTGATTGTTTTATTTTAATAGTGAAATCTTTAACAGTGGAAACTCAAGGAGAACAGCAAAAATACACAGTCCAATAACTGAAACTTTCTAGGCAACTTTCTGCATAACTTTGTCCTTTTGTTAGAGTGAGTGAGGCAAGGAATGCCTACTGGTGATCTAGGTTACATTATACTATTACTGAACAGTCCTTAATCCTCTTCTTACAATGACTGCAAGGTTTTCTCCTCAAGCTCCTCTGCAGCACTGAAAGGTCAAAGCATCAGCCCAGGACACCCAGTCATTTCTGGAAATTCTATCTTACACAAAACAACTGAAAATCTAAAATATCAAAATATCTTTATATTACACAATAGCTTCAAGTTCAGGATAAAAATAATGCAAAGAACCATGACACTGACATGAAAAGTATTATCCCAAATGAATTAAACAAAGCTTCTCAGATCACTGCTGTCAGTAAGAAACTCCAACTGTTCCATCTCTGCTAAAAGTAATTATTAATACAAGTAGAGCTGGTAGCTCCATCACTTATTAAATGATCTCATTATGCCTTTCGTTCATCCCTGCAATGTTATGCTTCCACCAGAGAGTGCACTTTTAGTTTTACTGCTGGTAGTAAAACTAAAACATTTTTCAAATCAAGCTGTGTGATTTTGCACCCTAACGGTGACCTCCTGGCTTTCTGCTGTCCCCATTCCCAACCACCATGTAATAATTTTCTCTTGTTTTCTACCCACTATTCCCCTCTGATAAATCTTCATCACAACATGGACTGTCAAAAAACCCAACCAAAAGCCACAAGATATTTCATCTTTAAGATCTTGCATTAGAAACAGATCATCTTTAAATAAAAGTACTACGGAACTGGAAATTTGTTTTCCAACCATTTTTGTATCGTCTTGACACCTGCATTCTGGTGTATTTTTTATTTAGTACCTCACATAGATATTTATGTATGTCTGAATAAAGTAGTTTCAGCCTTGCCCTCTGACAGTCAACAAGATGCATGTAGAAAGTCTGGAGAAAAGGCTCTGTTTCCAGAAGACACAGGTTGCCTCCTCCCAAACACTCATGAGCTGCAGCTTTCCCAGACAGAAATCATTGCTTTGCACATAAATGTACCACCTCCAAAGGTGAAGGAAGTGAGATTACTTACCATTTTCAGAAAAGGAAAATAAATAATCTGTGTATTAATATTAATAGAGTTCCTCAAGTTGAAATTTGATCAGTTCCCTCCAGAATCAGAAATCAATCAGTCAATTATTTTTTCTAGGCGTTCCTCCTGATTCCTCCCTCTCAAATGCAGCATCATGATATCTTAAGAGAAGTCTGATTGGAATTAGTTTGATTAGAATTAGGCAGATGTGCATACTAAATGCAATGGTCCTGCAGTGAATATTAACTTAAACACATGACACCATTTACTTATACCACCCCCAAGGGCAGAAACACAGTCCAACCTCTGCTACAGAGGACAGAAATAATTTCCTTACTGATGGTAATGAGCCCTATAACACAAGATGCACTTTTTTTTTAATGTAAGTCTATGTAAATTTTTAAAGTATGCATGCTCTTTAGACTTATCTTCGGGAAGAAAACTGTCTAAACATTAATAACTAGCCTGCCAAGTTCCTCTCTTTTCATCCATGACAACTACTAGGCACAGAATCACAGCAGTCAGACCAAGACACCACAGGGACAGGCAGTGGTGTCAGTCTTGAGTTCTAATGAACCAACAGCCTCTCCTAATCAGAGAAAGGCTGGACTCCCATCCCTGTTCAGATTACAGCTTAAAGCCCAAAGGCCTAAAGAAGTTAATTCTGTGTAAACACACAGAAACCAGAAAGGAAGATTAATCACGAAGAGTAAATTAGCCTACTTTTGTTTGTCTTAGCATGTTTAATAATACGTATTCAAATTATCATGGTAGTACTATCAGGGTCTTTCTTATTAAGGTTACAAACCATAAACTAAAGTTAGCAAATTACTAACAAAGATACAGACTTCAAAGAGTTGCTACTATCACAACTATAAAAAAATTAATATTTGATGTTTTCCTGAAAGCTAAGCTCTGAAAACAATCTAAAGTTTTATTCCACTTCTTTCCCCCTTATCATTTTTCCTGTTTCACCTATTTAGAGAAACAGCTTAAACTCCATCAATCTTAAGCACCATAGACACAACCCCCCTAAAGAGCAGGTTAAAACCAGTGCAGTTTCAGACTGTCGAGGCCTGATTCCTCTCTTACTATTTAGTCAGCCATGCTGCATCCCTAATTATCTTCAGGACTGTTACCTTCATACGCTGACAATGTCCCAACAGGCCACTTCTTCACCAGCCACTCTGCACATGTATTGGTGCAGGAGTCACTCTCACAAGGGCCTTCACCCACAGCTGAGAGAAAATCTGCTCTGACCTTCTGTCACACCCAGAGCAAATGAGAAATAGCTGAGGAGCAAAATATCAATTAACAGTGTGCAGCTCAGCTACCTCCAACTTAGCTCATTAGTTATGCTTCCTGCCACAAATGCCAATGGTGTTTAACAGCTTGTTGGGAACCATGTCTTGCCCACAGCTGATTAGCTTGTACAGAAACAATAAAACTGACATAAGGAAGGGCATTACAGTATAAGCGTTGTTCTTCCTTTAACAGCAGTAAAGCTACTCATTCCACTCAGACTTTTTTTTTTTGGTCTGTTTATTTCTCCCAGGGACTCTCCTCTATTTCTGTGGTGCAAAGCAGACGCATTTGGTAACAAGCATCTACCCAGGAAGGCCCCCAACTATCAGAGGATTGTGACTATGACCACTGGCACAACAGGCTTGGGGGGGTTACTGCAGTTCTGCCAGCTAAGAGGAACAGACCCCCCCCTGCCTCTGTTTTACCTGCAAGCACTGCCATTGAGCAGAGCCACGCTTCTCATTAGGTCCCCTGCCAGCACACAGCCCAGCAATAGCTTCTGAGAGTTTCCAAGGCCAGGATTAACATCCTCTGTAGCTTCACAAATTTGCAAACTGTGGTTTCCGGTTTATGAACACACAATGGAGGATAAAGAACTGTCAGGGGGCAAAAGGGGAAACTGTTCTTATTTTCTCTAAACACTTCCTGCCTAATGGGATGTGAAAGCAGGGTATCACAGCATTCTTACCTGCCCTCCTCAAGACCCTTGAACACTTGCTCTGATGGGAAGAAGTCCACAGGACTCTCAGAGTCCACCACCATGTTCAGCAAGGCACTACCCTACCCTGTTTCTCTCTGTGCATCTTAAGCTGGGCCAGACACTTGCTTCAGTTTGCCCACTGTTTTATTTATGTGCTTGCTATTAAGTTCCACATCATTCCACAAAGAATAATTGGCAAAATATAAGATTGAAACTCACATGGAATTTACAGTAGCACAAATTAATAATAACTTCTACTAGACTGCTTTGACTAGATTTTGTTGCAAAGATTAAAAGCTGGACAGCAGACCCTGTGATCTAACACTGAATTACACACCCCCAAAATTTATTTGGATAACTACTTCATATTAGGTTAAACAACATAGTAATTTAGATTGAAAACTAGCTGAAAACCTGTAAAAGATAGAACTCGAAGGAATTGGTCAGAGCCTAATGCAACCTTATTATGTCAAACCTCTTCCAAAGCTGTATGGAATCCTAACATTAAAACAACCATGAAGTGAAATGATGACCAGCAGTGTACCAGAATGAGAAGCAGAAAAGGGAGACAAGAATGATGCAAACAAACTTCAACAATACCAGCCTTCCTATTACAGATACCCTGTTCCCATAGATGTTGAAGTGCTTTACATCATACCTTTACTCATTAAATATAACTAATAAATCTTTAAGTACTTGAGCTGTCTGTCAGCTGGAAGCACATAGGCAAGGGATGCTAAGTTAGGCTGAGCAGATCATCAATCAAGGTAAAAGGATACAAGTGGATTTAGTTATGAGAAACAGCAATACTGCATTTAGAACAGATATGAGGCAGTACAGCTGAGAAAAATACTACCTGATATAATCGTAAACTGTAAGGAGAGATAAACTTGGAAAAAAGTAACACCTGCACTGCAGAAGATGGAAAGCTTGACTTGACTTTGTGGGAAGATCCTGCAGCTAAGAAGGGGAAATTTCAGCTTGGAAGTAAAGAGCTACAGTATAAAAAATCCAGCTACGCTAAGACTGCTGGTGTCTAGGAAGGGTTTAACGTGGAATAATATCATGTGTATTTCTGATGTTATCAGCAAGGTCTTAAACCAGATTCCATTACATCTTTTGCCTGAGTAAGTACATTCCCATTTTGGTAATGCATCCTGCACACCAGGATATATTATTATTCTTTACCTCCTGCCCTGAGGGGATAATATTGCTGGATAATATTGCCACATGTTGATGAAAAACTGCCATGCTCTACCCCAGAACATCTGCATGTCAACAGGGGAAAAAAACCAATTCCTGTCTATGTAAGTGCAGGAAGCACTGTGTGTCACTTTACAGAGAGAAGCACATCATAGATTTAAGATAACTTTACTAACAACTACAGTTGTGATTTTGCTTTCTTCAGTTCCAGATCCAAAAGAATTCATCATTTTTAGCATGCAAACTTAATAGCAATAGGACACAAATAACTGTCACTGTAATCACACTGAACAGCTGAGATGGTGCTCACCAGAAAAGATAACAAGGATGAATTGTGATTCGTGTTTGAATAATGTTTAGCACCAAGAACAGAACAAAGAATTTTATGCAACTCTCTCTTTCAGAATGAGCAAATTTTTTGTTGTTTTGTTTTTCATTATATACATTAGGAGAGAGAGGTCTAGTTTGAGGTCAGCTGCTATTCTGGTAAAAGAACATCCCTAGCAGCTGTAGGATTGCCTTTTATGTATCAATAAGGAGAAGTGTGATGAAACAAATAATCTGTAAACATACATTATACAAATTTTCCATTTATCATCTTGTCTTTCACTACCAAACACAGGTACCCCATCTGCTTCCCAGGATATTCAGAGTCAGCCTCTGGAAATGCTATTTTCTATTGATAAACACAGCTATTACAGACAGTCCTATTCAGCTGTTATTTGCAAAGCAAAGAATGTTTTTTACAGCAACTTCCTTTATCTTCCTTCTTGCCAAACAGCAGGGTCACTGTTTGTTACCAACTCATTCTCCATTCCAATTCTCTCAGATACCACAGCACTCAATTTCCACAAGGGAATGGAAAAGCAATAAAATGATAAATTTCAACACAGAAATGAAAGATTTTTAAGAGAAGCAGAATTTGGGATAGAGGTCTAGAGCCACAAATTGAAACACAACAGATTGCAGTCACAAACTCTGGCTGAGAAACAAAGCCACAGGTGGTAGTGCTTGGCAGTGTGAAGCTACCATGCTGCCTGCAGTCTTGTCAATTGGACAGCTTATAAAGAAGACACTGTTCTTTCTTTAACATTTTACATGAAGAAAACATGAGAAAATAACATCCAACTCCTATACCACATATACATAAGCAATTTTAATAGCTAGGCTAGTAATACCACTTCAGCTTGCATTCTGGCACCAATAAAGCAAGCAGCATTTGAATAGGAGAAATCAGGGTATGCTTCAAGCATGCAAAGGATGTTGTGCAGTGCACTAAATGGTGCATTCAACACTCTGAAGCCATTTTAGCCTATTTATTGGACATTGGTTTAATAAAAATCAAATAAATTAAAAATCTAACTAGTTGAAGGGTCAAACTTTAGCTGCTTAACAGAACATTCAGATGGTCTAAATCTTGGCCAGTCCAATTTCTAAACTTATTTGAGAAGAGTGTGCCACAAGATTCTACACTGCAGATCTTCAGTAATACCAATCCATAATAAGCTTTTTAATTAAGAGGAACAAATCTACTCAGGCATTAAAAGTGTCACCCTAAATGGAGGTGAGGGAGGTACAAGCAGTGCATGGCTGCATGCAGCTGGCAGGATGACTGTACTAGTGACTAGACAACTATCACAGTCTACTGAGTTTCTGTTAATGGATATATTCCTCCAAGCAAGATAGAAACCCAACATGTCAAGAATAGAATGATGACGAAAAATTTTGATAAAAATCCACATAGGGAACACGTAATTGCCAGCAATTGCATTGAAATTTAGGGGACTATAGCATTTTTTGCTATAGCTAAGTGTGTAACAGTAACACACTCACCACATACATTCTATTCCAAACCTACAAAACATATAAAAATATTTTTAAACAACTGTACGTTTCAATTACTTGTTAAAAATATTTTTTAGTCACACGTTGTCTTTTATTACTATTCCAAATCCATTAGCAATCACGCAGTTACATCCAAATAACATTCTGTTGGGAGCTTTCAAGCTAAGGTTTGTGCTTCCTCTGCATTAAAAATATTTTACTTTGTTGCATTAGCTTGAATAGCCACAAGCCCAAAGAAATAGAATATTTATTAACATGCTGTTCAACACTGGGGAGTTGCACAGAAAGGATAATTTAAATTTAGACATAAATGAAAAATATTATTCTATTCAAACTAGACTGTATTAATCTTGGTTAGTGGCAATTAACTGTTTATGAGATGCATAATAACTCATTATTCCAATAAGGATCCTTGAATTTTTAAATCATGCAAGTTCAAAATTGCCTACTTTTAAGCAAAAGTTTTAGATCTTTTAATCCTAAACTCCATCTGTAAACAGAATTTTACAATCTTTTTTAATACTGTTAAAATCAGTAAAAGATCAACACTGGTATCTATTCAGAAGCAAACCATTCTAGGCAAATGCTTGAAGAAAATCCTCTGGTTTGCTGCTTATTTTACTCTACATTTAGATAAACATTCTATTAAAAATGCTTTACTGAAGTTTTGACCTTTTAGGTATCTTCAAAAGAGTAAGATGGAAAAATAACTTAGCCTTAATGCCACATGTCAACTTCCTAAGTTTCTATACTTTACATTCTAAAACATGTTTCCTTTGATTGCACCAACCATGTGCTGTTGGCTGTCTAGAGCTGAAGATGATTCCGGACATATCTTTCCCTTTCCTGTACTCAGTCTTTTCCCAAAGCACTCCTGTTAAGTCTCACAATAAATGAGAGGTGTCACAGGAATTTTTCAGGTAAGATTAACTGAAAAAAACCCCACAAAATCTTATGTGTAGTTTCGTATCTAAAACTTACAATCACACACAAGACCTTATATTCAGTTAGATACAGCGAGCAACAGCAAATTCATTGTCAAAACTCACATTTTTATGCGGCATCCTTGGCTTTTTCTGAGTACAGGTTTTATTTGCTCCTTCCATTTACAAAGTTAAACAATCTGCTTATCTACAAGGCACACCATAATGACTCTAGAGATCTGTCAAACTCTAAGTTACCTGGCATTTTTGTGGCTCATCTGGTTAACAAACAAAATACAGCAGTTCCCCTTTTACCCACCTCCAAGACTCACACACAATGTCTCTCTGTTCAATTACTCTGGATTCTTGCTACAACACTGTACACAGCAACTTTTTATCCCCTGCAAAAAGCTGTATTGTAAGACACTTAGCAGAGAGAAAAGTTTACCTGCAGTGTCACAATGTCTTGCCGAGTGAAGGGCTCATCTGTCAAAAGATCCTTGTAGCTCTTTGGTTTTATGTTCAGCTGCTCGACTGCCTAACAGCCAGGCCAAAGACACAGATAATAAACATTGGTTTCTAATGTGTACATTTTACTAGTAAATATGTGATACTAATAAAACCTTAAAACTACAAATGATAGAGAAAACAACTTCACCCTTCATTCTCAACTAACACCCACAATATTTTCATCAAAATGTGATTAATCCAGCCTTTTCCTTGATTGCAATGGTTTCAGCTTGTTCTTCTCTCAGTAATTGCAAGTCAGATTTCAAAAAGCAGATGTTTAAGTGTTATATGGATCTATTACTTGAAGGATTTATTGGCTACTGAAAAATAAATAAACCTTGCTTTTACCATCAGGATTATGCAAACAAGTAAATTAAAATTCCACCTGGGTTCATACAAATGTTCACAAAACACAAATAAAAATGCAAGTCAAGTGTCCATTAAGGTATTTTATCTGCTCTTTCCCCAGCTCCAGTTAATATACTCCTTTCTTATTCACTGATACAAACAGAAGTAAGGTAATTTGTGTTTTGGTGATGACTGTATCAGAAAGATTTGTCAGAAGAACAGAATATTTTAATGAATTCAACTGAGGAGCTTATAAAAGCTACTCATTTTAGCCTACAAGATTCAGAGCATGCAGGTTAACATAGGAAAGGTATCAAAAATATCTTTCAAATATTTTCTAGGGTTGTTTATACTTGGGAGGCAAAAGTTGGACAGCAATTTGTGAAGTCAGTTCATCTCATTGTATTTTAATGTTCCTCATTGTAGAACAAGAATAAAACATACCTACCTTTCTAAAGCATTTTGTGATATTGAATGAAATGCATCAATTATAAAATATTAATAATGAAATGCAAAAGAGAACCTACCTCATAGGCAAACACATTTCCAGTTGTCTTGATGGCCACAATATGGGAGTTATTGGTGAATACAGTAAACAGCACTGGACAGTGGTATTTACCTGATGGAGGAGGAAAAATTTAAATTTGGCATGAAGTCCATGCAACTATTTTGAAATACTTAATTTCTATTATCCCTTTGAAGGATATTTGCATTGATTTCTAAGTGTAACTTCAGTGCGTATTTAATGATGCTTTAACTACACTTTGATTCCTTGGCACCAAACAGAAAAGGTAATACTTCAGAGAATTATGAAGCAATGAAGTTTTTAAAATGAAATTTTAAAATGAAGTTTTTAAATCTACTGCCTTCAATCCCTCAACACAGAACTTTGACCAACTTCCTTCCTATCTATGAAATACCACAAGATAATTATTATTGTTGCAATCAAAGCTCTACTGATACCATGAGCCTGTACCTTGTAACATCCCCACTACTCTAATTTCAGTGTTGTTACCAGGAATAAAAGTTTAGCTTTCCTCCAACAAAAAACAGTTGTTGTGCTTTTCAGAGAGGAAAGCATTTTGTATTCAAATGTGGCAAGAGGAATGCCATTAAATCTGAACACGTTATTCAATAAGGAACCCAGCTTCTGCTCTAATCAAGCTGTGAATTTTCCCAGGAGGGTCAGCATAAATCTTAAGCATGTCAACAACAAGGAAACTGAAGGAAGGCAATGCATGAGGAAAAAGAAAAATGTCTGGATGATCTTAGCATTTATTACTCAGCATCAGTTATTCACACCTGATCAGTTTGTTAGACCTGGGGGTTTGGGTGAAATTTTTGAAACAGGTTGGGATTATTTGATTCTTTTTTCCTTATTACCATCTGAAAATCAAAACCAGCAGGAA